CAGAATCGACGAACTCTCTTCACCGTCCTTTCTCGTTCCATTTCCGTTCGTTCAACGTAAACGGCCGAATAAAATCAATCGAATGTTTCTCACTTTTTTTTTTCGAAACCATGGAGGCGGCGAGTGTTCTCTTGAAATCGTGTTACGCTCATCCGTCAGGAGGTGCAAAGAAGCTAAAGACGACGAGACGACGATTGAACAAAAAAATTCAGCAACAGCTTCGTTTTTTTTTTTTTTGTTGCTCGATGAAAGAGACGTAATATGTAATATGGATACTGGAAGAAATCGCAAACAATGCAAACAATTGAAGAACGAAACTTACTCTGGAGATGGGAGAAGAGGAGAGGAGCACGGAATGCGAGACCATGAAGAATCGATGGCGAGAGTCGAACGGCGTCCTCTTAATTAAGGAGGAGCGAAGGAATGTCCGGGAAAGCAGGTTCGTCCCGTTGTTGGTTTCCAACGATTAGCTCGTCCGAAAGAAAGCTTCTCTTTCTGTCACGACACCGAGAGAGGGGAAGGGAGTAAAAAGAAAGAAGGAGGGAAGAAGGAGCATGGAAAGGATAAAAAGAAAGAGAAGGATAGGGTGAGAATGGCAGCGCCTATCGTGCAGGCGCCACCGCGTTCACGGTTCCGGTTGGCCGGGATCGAGAAACAATAATTACCTCTCGCGGGTCCTTTGATGTCCTCCGACGCGTTCGCACCCCGCCCAGAGAGATCTCCTCGTAGGTGTCCCGGGTGGTCGTAGACGTGGTCACGCACACCGAAACGATTCGTAGCTACGAACACGCCCGATACACGAATCCTTTCGCCGAATCGAGAGCCGGTCGATTCGTGTCCATCGACGCTCGGGTTTTTGCATTCATCCCCGTCGGGGGTTTGGAATCCCGAGGCAGCAAAGCACTGCTCTCTGCTACTCCGGCGCTCTCCGGCCGCGCGTCCTTCGAATTTTTTCGCCCGAGCTACCGAGAGGAAAGAGAGGGAACGAGAGATACTTTTATCTCCGGCTCGTGGCTCCTCGGAACGAAACCGAACGAGAACTGGTGGTGATGATTCCTCCATGTACATGGCATCATCCCCCGATGATGGAAAGAGAGAGAGACCGGTTGTGCCGGAGGATAATCTAGAAAATAGGATGAAAGGCGATTTCGGAAACGAAAGGAGCCCGGGATCATCCGAAACAAACGAATCCTCGCGTTTGTCGGAGCCGCCGCCCTTTTGTTACCCGTTTATACGGTTAGCTAATGAGGATCAACGTTAACCTATATTAAGCTAATCCATCCTTCGAAAGCCGTTCTCGTGGCTGGCACGGCTTCTGCCGTTGGATCCTCGAATCCTCTCCCGACCTCCAACTAAGAAAACGACACCTGCCGTCATCGCGATCGCTCGCGATCGACCGTCATCGCTCCTCGACGTAAAACTCGGATCTCTTGATGATCCTTCCTCCGCCGTCCCGATAAAAATCAATTTCACGCGTGCACTCGCGATCCCGGCGATGAAATCGGATTAGCCGGCGAAAGTTTCGAGAAAAGACTCCTCCTCCTCCTCCTCCTCCTGCTCCTCCGTTTGGATCGAGCGGATCTCGAGTCGTCGAAGAGGAAAAGATCGGTGGTGAACAGTCGGGGACCGACGACATTGTTATCGAAGAGATGTTTGGTACGCGCGTGGAAGCATTTGCGCCGAAAAGCTCGGGAGACAAAATATGCGGGGTGGTCCGGTCGAGTTTGCGGCGGGCCACAGGCCGCAACTTCATTTACACCTATTCAGCCTTCTTCCCTCTGAACACGGCCTTTAGATTTACGAGCTATCTCGCTCTCGCCTCTCGGTTTGCCTCGCCTTGCCATCGCGTTCCTCTCTTCGCCGCCCTCGTCGCCCTGCCTCGCTTCGTCCCGTTTCGCCGCGCCTCTTCCACCATCTTCTTCTGTTCGCCGCTCCACCTCCTCGACCTCTCCCGATCGGCATCGAGTCCCGACGCGTTTAGATCGCGACGCTTCCGACCGCTCTCTCTACGTTCCGTTCCGTTCAGAACCGTACCGACAAAGGAGGAATCATGGATATACACCCCACCCGAATCATTCTCATCCTCACCCTCTATCGCGCCAAGGCGCCGCCTCGCCCTAAATCGCTGCGCCAAGATATCGATAAGGTATTGATTTATCGACCGGTCGACCGAAAGGGTTATCTCTGATACAAAAGCCATACGCCACGGATCCAGATTCGTCGAATCGAACGAGCGCGGCGCTTATTTTTACCCTGTTCCTTCGGCGACGGTGTGGTGGAGGTGGTAGTGGTGGTGGTGTACTGCGCGCCACGCAACTTATTTTCGTCGAAATTGCGGTTACGACGAAGATGGTGTGGAACGAGGCCTGGGCAAAAGGAAGAGGAGGGTCCAGGAAAAACGCGGCCTCGGAGTGCGGAGTGCCGTGGAACTCGTCGACATTAAGTCATTACCGTAAGCGTCGAGGCGAGCGAGCGAGCGAGCGAGCGGGCGAGCAATCGGCGCGGACAGTCCGTCACGCGAGAGACCGTGGCTTCGCTCTCGGCGATTCCGCTCGCTAACAGCTTATTCGCCCGTGACTCGACCTCGATTATTTCAACGCGAGCTCTCGTGAAGAAACTCGACCAACTCGCCCGCGGCAACGACCAGCCATGAATGTTAGCCAGCGACAATCCCGAACAACGACCTTTCGAACACTTTTCCTCTCGTCTTCCGTCGAAAGAAACCGATAAATACCGCGCCTCGAGTCGGAAGAAGAGTTTTTCTCGATTCCACCGCACGTTGTGCGTGTCGAGTATCTGGGAAATGGCGCCAATAATAGTTTCATATAGCTCTCCTATTCGATCTCGAAAGATCGAATTTTGAATCGTCATCACGCGACGTGGGGTGACGAGAGAAAGAACACGAACAAAAGGAGAGAAGAGGTAGTATCGCGAGGTAGTAGGTTGGGCCAGCATTCCCGCGGTATTATAATTGCTCGGAATTTTGCCGGCGAGGAGCTCTCCGTTCCTTTTCCTCCGCTCGAGTTTCCAGCGCGATCTCCTCCTCCTCCTCCTCCTCCTCGTCTCTCGAGAGAACGAAGCGGACACGCGTCGACAAAAACGTAATTGCGCTCTCGTCGCCGAGACGATTTACGTCGATCAATCTCCCCGTAACTCTGAGCCGGGATCGCGACCGCTGCGAAGTGACCTCGTTCCCGAATATCATCCATCGCTCCGATCTTTTTACGCCGCCCCGTAAATCGCCCTTTCTTGCGTCTCCTTCGCCGCGTTCCACGCTATTTCTCCTCGTCCTTCTCCTCGTTTCACCTCTTCCTCCTCTTTCCGCGCGTTTCGACGACTTTCGTTTTCCAACCGATCTCTCCTCCTCTCCCCCCGTGTTTTCCGCTCGCGGAATTGGCGGCCGGAACGGAAGAAAGGATGCGTGCGGCGGGGAGAGAGAGAGAGAGAGAGAGATGGAGCGGATGGAAAAAGCTCTCGCGGATCCATAGCTACGCGGCCGCTTCTCTTCTCGCATTCCGACACTGCGTTCCCACACACGCGCGTGTGCACCTCCACCTTTCGATTCGTGCATTCTCGCGACGTCGGACCGCAGAGGGAGACGGAAGCGGGCCGTGAACGGAGACGAACCAGCTGCGACGGCCGAACGACGGGGGTACGACGGGGGAACGAGGCTCTCTCGACGGATGAATGAAAAAAGAGGAGAAAGGAGAAGAGAGAGACGGTACGGTGAACGGGGACGGGGATAACGAGAATGAGAGAGAGAGAGAGATAGAGTGAGAGCGTGTCGCGATGTTGGACACCAGGGGGGCGAGGTAAAGAGGTGTGGAGGGGAAAGAGCGGTAGCGTAATAGGGGGAGGGAAAGAGAAGCAAAGAGAGAGGAGAGGGTGAGATCTGGGAAGGTTTTCGAAGAGAGTGGGAGAGCTTCGACAAAAGTTGCTTGCGCGATGACCACGAACAACGTGGTGGGGAACCCGACAGGCGTGGCCTTGATAAGGACCGCCCGCTATTTCCCCTTGAAAGCCACGTGCTCATCTAGATACTAGCAACGGAGAGGAGAGATACACGTCTCCGCCAGCAGTAGAACCTGCTGCCAAACGTCTCTCGTCCATGAATTTCGCTCGCGATCGAACCATCTTTCGGGAAGAAACGTCGTCGCTCGATCTTGCTCCGTGCATGATCGACGTTCATACAAAAATCGAAGAATCGATCTTCGTCTTTTGATCGCGAAATCGATGTTTTTCGCGAAGAGACGACGATCGATGTCCATGATTCATCGTTTCGTCGAAAAAAATGTAAGGAAAGGAAAGGAAAAGCCGAGGAGGAAAGCTTATTGTCGCGTATTTGTCGTCTCGCAAGAAGAAGGAACTCTCGAGTCGAAGGAAAAAGATCGGAAGATCGAGCGGAAGAAGAAGGGCAGGCGGGCTTGACGAAAGAGGCGGGGCGAAGCTCGATCGGTGTTGGGGGATCCGTCGGTCGAAGGGGAAACGTATGCTGCCGCTACCAGCGTGCCGACGAACGACGGAGAAGTGAATAAAACGGAAGGGAAGAAGAAGCGAAGAGCGGAGAAGAGAAGAAACGTGGAGAAAAGGGAAGCGAAAAGAAGCGAAGCGAAGAGAGGAAGAGATCTTCGCGGAGGAAGGGAATAGGAAGGGGTTCGCTAGGAGGGAGAAAGAAGGAGACGTTGAGAGGAACCTTGGGGTGGAGAAGAGGGGAGAAGGTTCCGTTCTCTCTCTGAAGAGAGATCGGCTCTTCCGCGGAGGAGCGCGTGCAGTCGCTAGCCGAGGCCTATACTTGTCCGTCGAAGGGTATTGGTTCTCCAACTCGGTACCGTACCCCCCGAGACCGAGCGAAAGAGAAGGAAACGACGAGAGTCGTCTCTCCCCTTGGCGCGTTCTCTCGCGGGTCGACGCTCGTTCGTTCGCTCGCTCGCTGCTCCGCTGTGCTCGCTTGCACGTACTAGCACGTTCGTTCGTTCGTTCGTTCGTTCGTTCGTTCGTTGGTTGGTTGATCCTTTGGTTGGTTGGGTTCGATAGACCGATCGATCGCGCGCATATACGCCACGCATCTCGCCCTCTCGATACGCGATAAAGGAGAGACAACACCGTAGCTACCGTCAAAACTGGACGAGACGCGACAAGACGGGACGGGGAAGGGAACGAGAACGAGAAAGAAGATCCGATCGAGGTATACGCGACGGAGAGACTGATCTACCGATTTCGGGGCTGTCAGTCTGGTTTCGGGCAACTCCGTTATTAGCCGAGCCGATAGAAGCGACGGAAGACATTCGAGGAGGGTTGCCAGGTATACTTCGGCCTCACCGTGCGCCTCTCCCACCACCTCTGATTCGGCGAGAACTAGGCAAGGGTGACACCCACCCCTCGAAAAAAGCCCTTCGGGGGGTGAGTTTCCGGCACTCGAGGTTGCCCGATCCGCTCCACCAACTACAGTCACTCAACGACCTGACAGCGTCACGGTTCTTACGATCTACCAGTTACTACTGCTACCACACCAGTATCCATCCATCCTTTGACAGCTGACTCTCCTTCGTTCCGATCGGGATACCGATCAATCTCTTCCTTCCTTCCTTCCTTCCTTCCTTCTTTCTTTCTTTCTTCCTTCTCTCTATCGTACAATTTCCTGTGCAACGATCGTGCAGTGTCGTCGTCTCTTCCAACGATGATTTAAACACATCTCTCGTCTGTTTGATCGTTGGACACGTGTATCGTCGTATCTCCAGTGCTCCTCGACAGAGTACGCGCTTTGCTAAAACTTGCTATGTGCGCGACACCGTTCACCGCGGAGAGTATCGTGTGATGTTCGTAATCTGGTGAGTGGAACGTTGGTTGGTTGGTTGGTTGGTTGGTGCATGGTGTTTCGCCGTTCGTCGAAGATCGGCCAGAATCGCGGGAGGGTCTGCACACCCCCATGATTGCATTCGATCGTCAACAGAAGATGAGAGTTTGGGTGGTTATCTGTGCCCTGGTGGTGGCGATTCACGCGTCCATCGCCGAAATGCCAAGGAACAAGAATCGTGGCAGAGGATCGATGTGGTGGTAAGTGAAAAAAAATTATTTCTCCGTTCGATGTCGCTTCTCGAATCCGGCGCGTATAAGATAAAGTTGGTGGTGGCGGCGATGGTGGTGGACTGGTGGTGGTGGTAGCAGCAGCAGCCCCGCGCATGACAAGATCGACGTAAAAAAGATGGATGTAAAAAAAACTCTTAGTCGAGTCGTTTCGGACTCGAAAGGAAAAATTTTTCGTGTGTCGTTCCGGTTTCGATAACTTTTGGCGGTTAATTACGAACCGACAAGAGTCGCGTTAACACCTGTCTCGCGTCTTTTATCGAACGAACGGTGGCAGCGGACACAGGCGCGCCTTCTTATTAATTCATTAATCATAAGCCTGCGGCTCGTTCGTTTCAATCCGCCAATGATTTCTCATAGGTTGAAACGTGCCCACGTCCCGGGTACAAGAAAATGTTGGATGGATATTAGATAATGGCTAACTTCATTAGCCGGGTAATAAATAATGTTGGTGGTGCACGATCGAGCATGCGTGCGTGCATACATACATGGTTGAGCGGCGAACGCTCGTGCTCTCGCGACCGAAAGAGATAGCCGCGGAAATATCCGCGTAACGATAAAGTGGCGGCGATAAATCAGCCAAGGGTCTCGATTGCTTTTCCAACCGCGTTGATTTAACACACTGTCACGTGCGTCCGCCGCGCGGGTAATTATTACCTACGAATTAATTAATCTAATACGACGGTAAATTCGCGTGGACGCGTACAACAACCTGCTTCGAATTTCCCAGTCGGGGAGTAATTTATCGCCGCCCGTGTCCGCAAAAGGTCGACTTTTCGATATATTCGCGTTTGCTAAGCTTGTCGTCGTTTCCCGATAGATATCATTGGCAAATCGCTAATATATTCGCCGGTAACAGGGGGGATAACTTATCGCGCAAGGCGAATAATCCCGCTAGACGAATCTGGTGCGACAGCGTTTCTGGGTGGTCTCGAACCATCGCCAACGTGGATCGCGAGATGGATATTTTACACGCGCGACGATTGAAAAATTGGATGTTTTCGCGGTCAGTTGTCTGGCCGCGGGCGCGTTAGATCGGAATGGAGTGGTGCGCGAAACCATCGACGAGAAAGAAAAGTCGGTCGGTCGACGCGGAGCGAAAAAGACGTCTTCGGATCGGAGTCGTGACATCTCAACCTGATTCGCGACGTTCGTCGTTCCACGATCGCGATTAAATATCGATTGTACGCCATCGTCGAGGATCAATAATAATCGAGGATGGAATGATGGTTGTGGGAGGGAGACGGGCGATTTCAAGCTGGTTGATTGTGGTGATGGACGATCGATGAAATAATTCAAAGATAATCGCGCGAATTTAATATAACCTTTTGTCACTGGGGGGCGCGTGGCACCGGATCGTTATTAGTCCTCGTCGGACGATAAATTATTTTCGTCGTGGTGGCGTGTCCGCTGGCAGAAAACACGTGGACAAGCTAGGATGGAGAGAGGAGCGAGAGGGAGAAGAGGGGACAGAGAACCGGGTAGGATCGTCGTCGAGAGTCGTCCCTGAGCTTTCTACCCGACGTAAATTACAAGCAATAGATATATCCTAACCGGTCCGGAGCACGGCTTATTTATGGACATCGCGCTTATCGAATGCATCGTATAAACGATTCACCGGGCAAGCGCGCGTCCGTCCGCCTGCCCGCTCGCCCGCTCTCGAGATTCGTCGGTCGATCGTACGGCAAGAATTTCGCGCGTCGACGAAAACGTTGTAAATGAGACGCGCACTCCAATTCGCTTTCGATTCGCAACGAAACGGAAAATTCGCACCGCAGCTACTCCAAAGAGAAAGAAGAATCGAAATTTCGTCGCGTGGTCGCCACCAGTTGGAAGAGGAGGGTGTTCCGCGTGCTGGTTTTACGAGCTGGTTATACGTATCGCGATTCGGTTTATTTATACGGGGCGCAAGAAGTGTCAACGAGAAATCTCGGTCGCAGCTGGCTAGACTTTTCGCGGTGAAGCGTCGTGCGGTCGGTTCCCTCCTCGACGATCTCTGCTAGGCGTCAAGCGAGTCGTTGACAACGGATCGTCGACGGAGGTTCTAGGAGACGGTGATTAGCTGTTTATTATGCGCGGCGACGAGAGATCCGATCCCTGCGGGCGGACGCGAGCGAGCGAGCGAGCTATTTTTCGAATCGACGTAGCTCTCTCTAGGCCGCGTAGAACGTGCTCCCATTCTCAACTAGGAAAAATAACCAAACGGGAGGCGTCTCTCGTGCGCGTAGCAAAGCGGGGCACGGTCGTAAACGATCAATCCTCGTGTTCGCGCGAGGATCGTCGACCGCCGATCTCGAGGCATTCTTGATCCCCGCTCGAGAAACGTTTCTCTAAAACGTTTGCACGTTCTTCTCACGGATGGACAACGGCGCGGGTAGAGACCGTTCTCTCTCTCTCTCTCTCTCTCTCGAGCGTTTTTCTGCGCGACGCTCGATCGATCGAGACGCGAATTCTTTCGCAGCCAGAACTCGCGCGGCAGCTTGATTTATATATACGCCGCTACCGTTGACCGAAACTGTTGAACCAGTTTCGTCTTTCGAACTAATTCTCCGCGCTCCTTGCCCCCTTCCTCCTCCCTGTCCTCTCTCCTCTCCTCTTCTCTTCTCTCTTTCTCTAGAATAGTCTCTGTTGTTGTCTCTTCTCTCTCTCTCTCTTTTCGTTCTCGACTCGACTCTTCGAGCCAACTCTCGGAGTGTACGCGTTTTTACGAGTAAACCAAATTAGTGTCGATCGAATGCACGAGGAATGCCAATGCGCGATGTATCGATTGTGAATCGCGGAACCAGAGATTTCGCACGATTTATTATACGGGAGGGATAAAGGTATCATCGTGGCGAAGCGGGAATGCCGAGTCCCTCGGGACCACCGGAATCGTTGGCTGTCAAAACTCTTCGTTAACGCGATCCTTGTTTGAAAGGGCGTCTTTCGCGCGGTGTCTGCCGCCTTCTTCTCAGACCCCCTTCTCGGACTCGATTCTCGAGACGCGGAAGAAACACGCTCAGTGGGGTGGAGTGGGGAGGAGGGGGGGGGGAATAATCTGGCACGATTATTATTTTTTTTTTTCTTTTCTCTTTTTCTTTTCATCGAGCAACAAACGAGCACGCGAGGAATCTGTTCCGATCGAGGAGAAATTAAACGGACCGACTTGGTCGACTTTTCTTCCCAGGGGAATCGCGAAGGCAGGAGAGCCGAACAATTTTTTGCCAATGTCTCCAGCCTCCCTTCACATGGATCCCACAGTGTACGCGACCTTGAGGAGAAAGCAACGCAGGTTGGCCAGAGAAAATCCAGGAGTGCTGATGGCCGTGGCCAGGGGTGCGAATCAAGCGATCGCGGAGTGCCAACATCAGTTTCGCAATCGTCGATGGAATTGCTCCACCAAGAATTTCCTCCGTGGGAAAAATCTCTTTGGCAAGATCGTGGACAGAGGTGAGCATCGGATTTCCTTTCTCTTTCTCCGTTGCTTTTTTTTTTTTTTTATTCCCCGACCAATCATCCGCTTCGCTAATTGCCGCTCGAAAATTATCAGCGCGGCGCGAGCTTCACTAATTGACGTTCAAAGATATATATATATATATATGTATATACCTTCGTTGTTAACTCGCGAAATTAACGAACATCTTTGCGCGAAGGCCGAGTTTTTCTTTTCTTCTTTCTTTTTTTTTTTTTTTTCCTTCTTATTTTATTCTTTTATTTTATTCTTTCATTTTATTTTATCTCTTTTGCCTCGAATCTCCGAGACTCGAATCCACTCGGACTAGTCGAGAAGAATCGAGATTCGCGATAAAACTGCGCACATATATACATGTATAACGGACCATAAGGTGGACTCGTTCCACGTTCCCAAAAAACAGCCCATTGTCCGTGGTCGTCTCCGACAACCGGTATTCCCGATAGAGATTTACAGGAGACGAGGTTTCGAGGAAGGAGGTTGAGAGAAAGACGAGGAAGATGAGGAACGAGGAGCGGATTCTTGAATTTCGCGGACCCCACGAATTCGTCGAGATCGAGCTTTATCTATCGTCGTATCGTATTTTTGAAAGTTGAGCCATCGAAAGAAACGATCGTCTCTGGCGAATATCGATTTGGTGACGTCGTTATCGATAAACGGAGCGAATTCATCGAATTAACTTATACAAAGTCGGTCGAATTTCAACGCGGTAATGAAATCGTTAGTCGATCGATTCGCGAAGCACCGTAAAAAGCTGATTGTTCGACCGTAATTAAGATATAGGCATAATTAAATTACCCCGTTCGTTAATTAATACGAACGATTAATTTTCTCTTCGAGATCGTGGAAACGACGAGTGTTATCGACGTTTCTTCTCTCTCTCTCTCTCTCTCTCTCTCTCTCTCTCAATGTTTATTTCCTGTTTCGTTTCACGTTTTTCGAAAATAAGACGAAAGATTTCAAGAGATCCGAGAATCGAGAATTCTCCATATTCTCCGACATTATTCCACCTTCGATCGAACATGCTCGCTTCGTTCATCGTATTTCATCTATATTTCGCGATTTTCGATGAAAGGTGAAAGATTTCAAGATCCGAAGATCTTAAGAATCGAATTCTTGGTGGCGAGAAAGAGGAGGGGGTACGCTCGAAACGAAAGATTATTCGAAGACGACGACGAAAGGTGTTGGCGCGAAGGGTTGTAGCGGAAATCGGGGAGATAGAATTGAGTGAGGGGAGAGAAGAGGAGGCAAGGATCGTGGAGAGGAACGAGGGGATCGAAAGGGGCGTGCCCTTGGTCCGAAGGCCCCGGGCACGTGCCCTCACCGACCAGATGTATGTTTTGCAACCTGATAATGGACCTTCTCGTACCAGTTCTGGCTCCCCTGCGGCTCTTTTAGATCTCGTCGAGGCGATTGTAAGCCGAGCTTTTTCGCTCGGCCCGCTCCCGCCCTATTACGTTCGGTGTCCCCATATGGCCACTTATCGCGCTAGTAAAACTGAAAAAAAAAAAAAAAAAAGTAGTAGGAATACAAAATAACGAAGAGATCGCTGCCCATAACCCTTGCGCTTCGCCACGCATCGACGCGCTTCCAATATATCTCTCTCTATCTCTGTTATTATTATATCTAACTCGATCTCGATCAAATTCTCGACCATATTCGTGTAAATCTTTCACGATAAAAATGTAAATCGTGCGTCGATTGATAAAATTCCGATATATGTATGTACGCGGGAATGAAAGTAACCACGACCTTTCACCCCTTTACGATCTCGTACGGTCAAAGATCCGAGGAAGATCAGTTTCTCCTTTTGATCACGATCTTCTCTTTCTCTCTCTCTCTTTCTCTCTTTTAATCAATTCGCATCTTTTGTCTTCGAGCAGATCTTCGAGATTAGATCTACGCGGAGCTCGTGTATGCGCGCGCGAGGGGAAACGCAGATCGTTATCGACGATTCGTAATGTTCGCGCGTACTCTTATTTAAAGATCGAGGGGGGGATCTGGTGCAGACTGGTCGTCGCGGCGATCTAAACGGTCGTTTCCGGATTATGCAAAGGGGTCGTACGATTACATACGCTCGTCGCGTGTCCTTTTCTTCTCGTCTTTTTCACGATCTCGCTCTCTTCTCTATCTCTTGTTCCTCTCTCTCTCTCTCTCTCTCTTCTTTTTACTTTCTACCCGTACCGTACG